CGTTAACATGTATTACCGGCACACGAAACCTTAAATTAAAGTGAATAAATGAAGACTCGGCACACCACTTCTGAAAGGTTGCCTATCCCTGCTCTAGTGAAAGAAAGGAGAGAGCAGCTCAGTGCTCTGACAATGGCTGTGAGGGCAGAGAAAGTGCCAGCCCAAAGAGGAGGTGAAGAGTAAAATATCAGGCGAGGCAAAGGAAAATCAACTCCTTTCTTCAATGGGAAAGTAAAAAGGAGGCTCCTCTGAGTCAATGACTTGCAGGCTAAAAATCAGAACAGCTGTAACAAGGGGATCTAGATACCCTGGAAGCAAAGGGAAGAAGCACAGGGGTGGGTGGCGGGGAACCTTGACATAAAGGCATATAAGCCGAAGGAAAGTGATTGTAAAGGATCAGAAGCTGTTTTCAAGGCAGTGGAGGTTAGTCGGCCAGTTTCTGCCTTCTGCCAAGATCTGCTCAGTACAAGAAAGGAAGAGTGGCCACCAGGGAGCTTGTTACGACTTCTGAGCATGGAGCTATCCCAGCATGCTTTGACTCAGCCCAAAGGTGAATTTCTATTGGCTGGGCATAGCGAGGAGCCTACAGTCAACCTGATGGCATTCCTCGGTCTGTTTGGATGAAATACAATAACTTTTGAACTGGCATCTGCTAAGAAGGCAGCTTCAACCAAGTCTCTAATTACTTCTCTCTCAGACTGAAAGAAAAGAACAGCGAGGGGAGAAGAGGAAGCTGGGGGGAGGGGGCGGACACAGAGCCCCTGCCATGAGGATCGGGTTGCAGTGAATCCCTGAAATAGAGGGGGATAGGAGAGGAGCAAACACAGTTTGTGGGAAGGAACAGATGAATGCAAGGAGCCCCCAGTGCGTGCAGTGAGCTTGACCTATGGAAGCAACAAAGTGTGCAACCCCCTAGTTTATTTTGAAAGTAGGAGCAAAACAGGTGCAGCCATTTGTGTGTTACAGGAGTATGTAAACAAACCATTTTCCCTGCATGTTCCAATCAGTAATTTTGGCCAGAGTAATTTATAAACGCTGTCGCTAGAAAATTCAAACCTGGCTTTTATTAGTCTTCAGTGATGGTCAGAAATAATACAAGTTTGAAGAAAGATACCTCTAGAGGTGGGACAGAGGCAAGAAGTCAGGATTGAAATCTGAATCCGCCCCCCCCCCCGATTCATTTATACTTACTTGTAGGAACATCAGGTTTGCATAGATCATCAACGAGTCTTTTTTTAATAATCTTCAGCTCATTGAAATCATTAACAGTGTACTTCCTTTCCGGGACGCCAGCTATTTGCATGAGCTGCGAGTGATCAATTTTCCCAACTCCTATAGCATATATATGAACACCTTCCCTTCTCAGATCTTCTGCTGGTTCAGCAACATCATCATGTGACTTCCCGTCAGTGACTACCAGCAAAACTGGTTGAACGTTTCTTGTTACTCTTCTGCTGCGTACTGGTGCAAAGAATTCCCTCACCTTCCTAAGTGCAGCTCCAATTAAAGTTCTAGTTCCTGTCATCTGCTTAATGTTCTGAATTTGAATGTTCAGTTCTGATTTGTTCTGAAAAGCACCCAGGCTGAATTCTTTTTTATACCTGTCACTGTACTGGGCAATGCCAATTTGAACATTCTGATCATAATCAATCTGATCTAGTATAACTTTCAAGAAATCCTTCATCCTGGTGAAGTTAGCTGGCTTTATACTATTGGAACCGTCAATCAAGAAAACAAGGTCTGCTTGAATTTCACACTCTGAAATGGAATCAAAGGAAAATTAGCTTATTATTTATATAGTGCTCACAACGTGCTTGGGGAGGAGCAGAGATTCAGGCAAAGGACATTGTAAAGGGACAGGCGTACAGGCAAATACTTTGGATGGTTTCTGCTTCTGGAACCACCTCCAAGCTCCCCTGTATTCAGCATACATAAAAACAGGGCATGTGGGGCAGCCTAATTCTCACAACAGGGAAAGCAGTCTGTGCAACAACTGGATGCTAGCATGGAAGGCCCCCCCTCCCCCCAATAAGCCAGTGAACTGCAGACCTTATACATTTCCAGCAGGAGTTCTGCTATTGTCCTCAGATAACAGAATGGACTAGAAGAACCTCAACTACTAGGCTTCAAGAGCCCTAACCCTTTACTGGACTTTCCCCTTATGGCCAAGTTAATAATTGTCATTGTTGTAACTGACAAAAGCCTTGTCTACACTGGGGGCGGTGTGTAGGATTTGTGTATCTACACACCATGGTGAAAAGCAGGCTGCACGAACACTGTACTGGGTAGCTACACATCAGTGAAAGTCTCTCACGGAGGGGAAAGGCTTGGGCAATAGGGAGCTGCCAGAGCCTTTCCTCACTGCCTGATGCTTGCTAGAGTCTTTTCTCGCAACCAGGACACTATACTGCTAAAAATAGTGTAGACAGGGGAGGCACGACTTGGGCATGAAGTGAGTCTAGGATACATGCCCTAAGGTTCTGGCATGTCTTTATTTACCTAAGCAGAGCCTCTCTGTCGCAAGCTCTTAATACCTGTGGTAGAGGGGCATGCGGTATATGTACTCTGCACCCCACTGTCACTGTAGATCTAGCCTAAGGCGTAATAAGAGTATGCATGACCTTTCTCCCAGCCGTAGTCAACTATTCGTTCACACGGTCATGTCTCCAAGTGCTTCCTGGGAGCCATACAGGACCTAGCCCCTATAGTGTTTGCCTCTGAGGTGCAGCATAGCTGTCACACTACTGACTATCTAAAGAAGTTTGGTGGACAATAGCACTCCAGTAGCCCCAGGAGGGGAGGTTGATTACAGTCCACTCCGACCCAGGGCACTGGTCAAATAATTCAAACAGCAATTTGTAACTATTCTTGTGAATAAACACATTCACACTGAGGGGTATCCATGGAATCGTGTTATTCAAGGTTTGAAAGTATTCTGACAACTTCCAGACAAGTGAGAAAACTGTAGGAGTCACAGGAGTGCCATGAATTTTAATTTGAACACTCATCTGAAAATTTATACCATTCCCCAACACAGATGAATAAAGACACTCATCCAATCAGGGAGCAGAAACATGTGACTTATGTTGGCCAGCTAACGGTGCAAATAATGAATAGAAAATAAGTGACCAGTTAGCAAAAAGCCCATAGGGTCACTGTAGCACAGGGGCTGCTTACTGCCCCCTGGGCAACCCCCTTGCAGCCAGAGATCATTCTGCCGCACCCTGGCTCTGTTATCCCCTTTTCAGGGCCCTTTAGAACTCATAGTTCAGAACTGGTTCCAAGAATCCCCCCAAGACATCCCATTTATTGAGTCCTCTGACACATACTGGCCCTGTAGGCCCCAGGCAGTTCAAGGTCCCTCTCCAGATTAACACACAACACAAACTCACACAGTCTTCATCCCAGCTGGCCTTTCCAGTCTCTCTCCTGCTTGTTCAGGGTCTCTCCCAGATCTTACTGCCTAGAGAGCTTCCTCCAACTTCAGCTTTTTCCCTACTGACTCAGGGCCTTTACAGGAGCCTTCCTGCTCCCTCCCTGCAGTCGGTAAACCTAATTGCAACTTTCTCTCCCACCTCTCTGGGGCTTCCTGCTCTTTTTATCCTGCCAGCTCCTGATTCAACCCAGGTGTGGTTCATCCTGCAATCAGGGCTCGCTTAGCCCCAGGCTATCCAGCACATGGGGCCAACCACCCTGTTCCAATGACAGAGGCTAATCAGTGAACATTTAGGAGTATGCGCCAGAAATCTGGATTTGCAAACAGTTTCAAACACTAAAAAGGACCAAATTTGACAATTTATTTGCAACAAATCATTCAACTAGCTGCACAGACCAGCAACCTAGAAAGTGTACCTAAAGTACTAATTTTTAACAAGGGACAGAGAAGGGCATTAGGAAAAATAGAAATTGTGGGGCCTGATTCTCCACTGTCTTCCACATTACACGCTCCGGTACACAAGCATAAAGTGGGCATAAAACCCTACCAAACTGGATTTCCTCACTAGTAGGAGTAGCATTTTACAGTCTCTTTGCAAAGATGTAAGTGACTCCTCTGGGGTGCAAAGATCTCTGTGATCCCTCCTATGGCCTGTGGGCAAATAGACAGGAGCATGGACAGGCAAATGAGGATGAATCTGACTAGTTGGTCATTCAAATGTGTGTTTTTATACAGCACAGGGGTTTGGAAGTGTAGACCTATGTGTAACTGTATGGAACTAGAGCAGTGGTGGACAACCTGCGGCCCATCAGGGTAATCCGCTGGTGGGCCACAAGATAGTTTGTTTATATTGACCGTCAGCAGCTCCCAGTGGCTGTGGTTCGCTGTTCCCGACCAATGGGAGCTGCGGGAAGCCGCGGGCTGCAGGGATGTGCTGGCCGCTGCTTCCTGAGGCTCCCGTTGGCCGGGAACGGCGAACCGCGGCCCCTGGGAGCTGTGGGTGGCCGTGCCTGCGGACGGTCAATGTAAACACACACTCTCATGGCCCGCCAGTGGATTACCGTGAGAGGCTGCAGGTTGCCCACCACTGGACTAGAGAATGCCACTGTGCAGTTTGCATGGTGTAAGTTTCCTCATAATTGCCACTGCATTTTGATTGCCACTTGCAATAGTCCCCATCTGCCTGTTCTTGCTTATTTCCCTCAGCAGAGCTCATCAACCAGGCCAAATCATGTGATGTAGATAAATGCCTATCCCCACAACAACTAGTCTAATCAAAGTGAAACGTGAACTCGGGCCTTTTAAAGTGAAAGGTTAGTGCCCTAATTTTACCTTTATGAAAGTTTTGAACCCACACAGACTAACAATAATATCAACCACTTAAGCAATGAAAATCCTCAACTGTAGGATCAAGTAAGGATAAAGTTTAAGAAACTTCCCTGTTTGCCTATCGCTGGGCTTGCTAAAGAGAAAAGAATACCACAGGAAGCTAGATATACAAATGAAGCCATACACATTGCTTTAGAGATGTGTCTTCCCATCTTTGTCAATTTTTAAATAAAATGATGAGGAAAGTTTAAACAGTATAGACTATTAAAAGAAACAAACACTTACCTGGTTTTGAATCACCACATATTTTTTCTGATATTGCTACAGATGTGTTTTTGAGTCCTTCAAATGTATCCACATAGTAATATTTGTCTTTTGATCCAGCCATGGCCAAAAGCTCATCAGGTTTTGCTCCTTCTATCCCAACAGCATAGATAATAATTCCATTGTCTCTTAATCTCTTGGCTGTGTCACCGAGCTGTGCTGCATCATGGGACTCACCGTCTGTTATCACTATAAGAATCTGTGGAACTCCCTTACTTTTGCGGCCACCATGCTCCTTAGCAAACAGAGCTTCCGAATAGCCAACTGCCTTGGCTGTATACGTTGAACCTCCTTTAGATACGTCATTCTGGATAGCCTCAACAATCTCGGATTTTGTTCTGTACATATTAAGGTAGAAAAACATTTCCGGTTCATCAGAATATTTTACAGCTCCAAACTGAACTCTATCTGGAGCGACATCAGATTTTTTCACCAAATCAATCATGAAGTCTTTCATGGTCTGGTATTGTTCGGAACTTATGCTCCCAGATCCATCTATCACAAACACAACATCTAATCTTTCTATCCTCTTGCATTCTGTAAAAGAACAAATGACAAAACAAAAAACCCAAACACGTAAGTAAGTACAGACTCTTACTGAATCTTTCTTACTAGTCCCCTTGTATTCAAGCAAAGCTTGTGAATTTGGATCACTTTTTGGAGGCAGTAACACAACTGAACATCCTATGTTAGGCATGTTTTGGGAAAATCCATCAGTCCACAACAGAAGGGCCTAACCACTAATCCTAAAATAACTGAGAGTTTCAACTTAATCTAAAATCCAGAGGGACGAGGAGAAAGAAATGAATAGTAACACAGAATGGGATCAGGCTACATGATCATAATGGCCTCTTCTGGCCTAAAAAAATAAAAAAAATAAAAAAAAAAATCTATGAATCTGTATTCTAATAGAATACAAACACTAATTAAAAGCTTTTGTTCCCCCCCAAAAAAACATATTTTAAGATTTTCATTTTTGGAGTTAAGTCAAATTTCTGTGATCCTTGTTTTACAGAGTCATCATACACAGTTTTATGTACTGTCTAATAATGGAAATGAGCCAAATTCTGCTGCCATTTGCATCTATGCAACCACACTGAAATGCATGGAGACCCACCAGGCATCAATGACAGCAGAATTTATATTGTGCTTTGGATCTATTGCAATATTTTCTTCTTTGTGAAAGAAAGATGTTCAATTTGGAGACTGAAGCCTTGCCATCCCTGCACAGCCCCCAAGGCCCTCTGTTGCAGTGACCAACAAGGGCTGAACGGGACTTTTGTGAAACCCATTAAAACTACTCCTAAACTAAAGATCAACGTTTATGACGAGGAGATGGGAAGTCAATACCCGATTAACAGTTTACTAAGGAGGACATTGTAGCTCCTAAACCTGGAACAAAATATTTACATTTCAGGGCATAACACAGTGGCAGGTTTGATCTGTTCTCACTTTGCAACAGCAAAAATGTGTTTTCTGCAATTGGATAAGTGAGTGCAAGTGAGACACAGATCTCAGTCCTGTAAGCCCCTGAAATGGAACATGCAATGTGCAAAGAGGAGAGAGACTCCGTGTGCTCTCCCCACCCCCATTGAGCAACCATGTATGGGGCCAGGCATGACCTGGCCCTGGGCTATTCCATTTTTCAGGTTCTTATGCAACAGCAAGTGCCATGTTTGGATAGCAGCCTCTGCAGGGAAGTGTTTGCACAGATGGTTATCATTCTATTTTATTCTATATAGGTTCTTATACTGCAATCATCACCTTCATAGACCTGTGGGCCTTCCAACCATGTATTAAGCAGTGTGCGTTTTTTCCTCTCATCTGCTCCCCAGGGGCAAAACTGTGTTTAGTGAGTTATTTTGAGTGTCACCCCCACTCCCCATATATTTATGTTAGAGAAGGCAAGGTCAATGGAAAACACCTTACACTTGGAGTGGTAGGTAGAGAGGTTTGTGATGGTCCTTAGTTCCTATGAGAGTTCATTTCACATAGTCCTGGACTGAGCCCCCCCAAAATGAGTAGCATATGGTACTCACTACCATTTTCACAGTTTTATGCCTCTTTTGCACCTATATAAATGTGTCTGTCAACACATTTTCGTTAAAGTCTTGTCTACATTGGGTTTGAACCACATCTGGAACCCAAACTGAAACTTGTAAATGCGGTTCCAACAAAACTAATTTCCGGTGCTGTATTGCTGTACCTATCTATCTTCTAGGCCATTCAGGGTTCCTGTGTAAATGAGTACTACTTAAGTCTATCAGGCAAATACAACTATAGAGCCCATTTTTGCCCTCATTTACATGTGTACAATTTCTATGGCTTCAATAGAAGTTGCACCCTTGTAAATGAGGACAAAACGAGGCCATTAGTGTAAACAAGAATCAGTCCCCAAGGATGTTTTACACTGCCAGAACACCACAAAGGAGCCTTAGTATAAGTGAGAATCAGATTCTTAGTCTTTTCTTACACACATTAGCATACATATTGTACTTTTAAAATATTATGAAATTTATATTATTTGTTTGAGAGAATATAGCATCTTTGAAAGCTAGTAGGACAGGCCCCTGGTACCATGAGCCAAATTCTACTTTCATTTTCTAACACACTTTTCATCCCTGTAGGCATTTCCTGGAGAAGATGGCATTGCAAGGAGAAAGCATGCCTGTTTATTTACTTTATTACAATACTCAACTATCTGGACAGAGCAAAATTCCTACACAGTCACAGATTGACATGAGTTATTGAAAACTGCAGTACTTACTTACCATCATGAGGCCTGCATATTCCAAAGATGATCTCATCTTCTATGTGCTTCAGAATATCAAACTCCTCGATGTAAAAAACCAGCTCAGGCTTCCCACTAATCTCTTCCAGCTGAGGTTTATTTGCATTAAACACCCCAACAGAGTAGATAATAACACCTTGATCACGTAAGGCTGTTGCTGGACTTTTTACTTCATCCTGTGCTTCCCCATCTGTAATCAGGATAAGAAACTTTTTGACAGCCGGACGTGCACCTTTGGGAGGCTTGAAATAATCAGACACAAATGTCAATGCGCTTCCTGTTAGTGTATTTTCCCCTATAAGAGACATATTATCAATAGCACTGAAAATGTCACTTTTTGAAGAGTATCGGTCAAGCTGGAACTCTTCGTGTTGTGTGCCACTGAACTGGATGACTCCAACTTGCACTCGGTTTGCACTGATGTCAGATTTGTTCACCAGTTCTCTCATAAAGTTTTTCATTTTCAAAAAGTTTTCTGGTCCTATGCTTCCAGAACTGTCCACTAGAAACATGATGTCAGCTGTCATTTCTTTGCAGGCTATTGAAGAAAACAGATTTATATTAGTATAGCCCAGGCTGTACATTAAAAATAAGTTAATAGATTTAACTGGGGCAGGATGGTCTGGGATAGATGGTGGGTGCTAAGATTTCTGGCTGTGCTGGGTAAGTGTGGGAATAGTGAGGTAGGTGGATGGCTTCGTGGGTGCTGTCTGGAAAATACCTGGGTCAGGGAGCCTGGGGCCAGTATTGGGCCCTCTCTCACATGCTGTTACTGCCTCCTCCTCCAGTTGCTGCTATGTATTAGAATCTACTAGGGAGCAGCTAGAAGTGAGGCAGAGAGGTCACCCGAGTGTCACAGCAGCTTCCAGGAGAATCAACTGCAGAGCTGTCCCTGCAGCCTAACCGGGTGCATGAGGATCCGGATGGGCTGAGTGCAGGTATGACAGGGCTGCTGCTTGTGTGAGTGCCACACGAGTTGCATAACACTGGACAGCACTGCTATAAGTTTAGTAGGGTTGCTAAGGAGAGGTTTGCTAGGCACATGCATTTACACACACAGGAGAGATGTGCTTGGTTGTCTGAGCCACTTCCATTTCTGAACAGAAAAAGATTCTGTGGTTCACAAATCAATACAGGCACAAAAGATTCAGGGGTTTACAGCTGTGTATAAGCATATGAAAGTAGCATTCTAGTGATGTACCTGTTAATCACAAACACCAACTTGACATAGCTACTGCTAGAGAATTTAGTTTGCATTTGTTTTCCTCTTACTGTGTGTGTGGGGTGCGGGGGTAGGGTGGGGTGGGGAGGCTGCTGAGCATCAGTCTTACAAAGACAATGATCTTAAATGCCACCCTGCCTGACTGCAGCCTGACGGTAGGGTTAGTGCTCTGTGGGCACCCAAACAATTCATGACACAGGTATTTACATTGGGACAATAGCAACACAACATGACAAGCTGGAAAACACACTACTTGATGTAGGACTATCCTCTTCAGTTGAAAAGCTATCTTGTTTGTTACAGATGTAAGGGGACTGTTGCCCCCTTACTAACACTCAGTGGGGGTGTTTTGGTTGGCTAGCTCCCAGCACTAAAAGGGGAAGGGTCGATGGCAAATCAGGAGCCTGAGACTGACAGTCCCCAGGAACAATGGGGAGAGGCCAATGCTCCAGATCAGCCTGATTGACAGGGTGGGCAGGCTAATCAGAGAGTCAGGAGGCCAGGGGGGTCCCGTCCTCTGTGTGAACTGGAATTGCCTGGGTCAGACAGTGTGGAGTCGAGCTAAGGAGAGAGCAGGGGCCTGAGCTAAGTTGCGGGGAGCAGAGCTGCAGCCCCAAAGCCAGAGCACAGCCCAGAGAGAGCAGACCTGCCCTGAGAAGAGAGCTGCAGTGACCAGAGCCAGAGGGGTCAGATCAGCAGCCAGGAAACAGGTCAGAGCTGGGAGCAGAGTCACAGAAGCAGCCTGCAGAGCCAACCTGTCCTAGGGGCAGAGCTGTAGCAACCAGAGCCAGAGAGGCCAGAGAAGCAGCCCAGGGAGCTGGAGGCAGAGCAGCAGCAGCAGCAGCAGCAGCCGTGCTGAGGCAGAGTGGAGCTGGAGCCGGGGCTGGAGCAGTCCGGAGCTGGATGCGGCGAGCAGCTGGGGAGAGAAGGGGGACCCTGGGCAGTGGGCCCAGCGCAGGGAGACACCTCAGCCAAGAGGCTCTGCAGGCCAGACTTGGAGGGGGATGGTAACCCTGTCAGGGCGGGGACAACGCTGGGAAGAAGAGTCCTGCCACCTAGAGCCTGAGGGCGTGTGGCCACCGCCAGAGCAAGTGTCCAACCCACAGCAGCACAGCCAGGGCCTGAGAAGGAGCCTGGGACCTATGAGGAACAGACTGTGAACTGCCCTGACATTCCAGAGATACTGTTTGTGATGTTCCCTGCCACAGAGCGGGGTGATGTGTTTTCCTTTAACCTTTCCCATTTTTCCTTATTCTTTTTTTAAAATTAATTGTTAATTAAACAACTTGTATTTGCTTTGAATTGTATGAAATGATCAGTGGGTCAGGGAGGTGCCCAGTGCAGAGAGAGTACCCCGGAGTGGGGACACCCTAGCCCCTGTCCTGAGTGACCACAGCAGGGTTGGGGGTCGAGTCCCCCAGGAATCCTGGGCCCAGCCTTGTTGGGGTTACGAGGACTCTGCCAGACAGGAGAGTGGAAGGGGAGTCCTCAAGGGCAGGGAGGCCTCTGGGTAAAGGGAGTGGGAGCGAGGACTCAGATCCTTTCGCTAGCCCACTTCACCCGGGTAGTGCAGAAGCCAGGAAAGTTCCCCACAATAGCGGGACCATTCCCCCGCTTACACAGAGTTGAGGGGAAAAAAGGAGGAAGGAAAAGGAGTGCTTTGATGCTCTGAATGAAACCAAATAAAAATACCCTTGCTTTTTTAAAGCATACGTTGAACATACACATAGATTTAAGAAAGAAAACTGCATTATTTATAATTGGCTTGCAGACAGCCATCTCAGTTCAAAATGTGCCCAAAGTATATTTATACATTTCAGTTATTCAGGCTGGAGTAATGTTTTGAACTTGAAATTGTTTGTTATATAAGAGGAGGTGCCGCGTTCAATTAGTGCTCTGAGTTCAAAGGGCAAAAATCAAAATTTTCCCTTACCTTCTTTAGAACAGATCTTTTGAACAATTTCATTTTTTATCTTTTTCAAAGAGTCAAACTCTTGCACAAAGAAAGACCTGCTCTTTGATCCTGCAATTTCATGGAGCTGTGCTTCATTTGCATCTTTTACACCAATGGCATAAATATTAACCTTCTCATTCCTCAGTCTCTCAGCAGGCTCCTTCACACTGTCCTGTGACTCCCCATCTGTTAGGACAATGAGGTAACAAGGCACCCTGCCAGCTCTCTGCTGCGTTGCATTTTTAAACAGTGGCTGCATGAAAGTCAAAGCTTCTCCAATACGGGTATCCCCGCATATTTGCCTAATGTTGTCGATAGCCCTTTCTAAATCATTTGTGTTGTTGTATTCATTAAGTTCAAACTCCGTTTTGTTGAAATGTGAGAACTGCACAGCTCCAAAGCGAACTTTATTCGGCCCTATGTTAAACATCTTAATCACTTCCTTCAAAAATGTTTTGATGTCTCCGAAATCATCATGAAGAATGCTTGTTGAACCATCAATGAGCACATAAATATCAGCTTCCTCTGTGTCCACACATCCTACATGGAAAAAAAAATTTTATACAGCATTAGTGCAAGAACAAAATGTAAAGAGAGAAACACTGAAAGAAGCACCAAAGCATACAGACTTGTAATTAGGGCCCAGAGTCAACCAGTATTTGTACAATGACACAAACCCAGGTGGAATCATAGAATATCAGGGTTGGAAGGGACCTCAGGAGGTCATCTAGTCCAACCCCCTGCTCAAAGCAGGACCAATTCTCAACTAAATCATCCCAGCCAAGGCTTTGTCAAGCCAGGCCTTAAAAACCTCCAAGGAAGGAGATTCCACCACCTCCCTAGGTAAAGCATTCCAATGCTTCACCACCCTCCTAGTGAAATAGTGTATCCTAATATCCAATCTAGACCTCCCCCACTGCAACTTGAGACCATTGCTCCTTGTTCTATCATCTGCCACCACTGAGAACAGCTGAGCTCCATCCTCTTTGGAACTCCCCCTCAGGTAGTTGAAAGCAGCTATCAAATCCCCCCTCATTCTTCTCTTCTGCAGACTAAACAATCCCAGTTCCCTCAGCCTCTCCTCATAAGTGATGTGCTCCAGACCCCTAATCATTTTTGTTGCCCTCCGCTGGACTCTTTCCAATATTTCCACATCCTTCTTGTAGTGTGGGGCCCCAAACTGGACACAGTACTCCAGATGAGGCCTCACCAATGTCACATAAAGGGGAACGATCACGTCCCTCGATCTGCTGGCAATGCCCCTACTTATACAGCCCAAAATGCCATTAGCCTTCTTGGCAACAAGAGCACACTGTTGACTCATATCCAGCTTCTCGTCCACTGTGACCCTTTGGTCCTTTTCTGCAGAACTGCTGCCTAGCCCTTCGGTCCCTAGTCTGTAACAGTGCATGGGATTCTTCTGTCCTAAGTGCA